CCTTATATTGGCTGAACTATACCAACATACTCTCCCTCCATTTTTCTTTTTGAATTGATATTACCCCATCTAAATTTCCATTAAAAGAAACAAAGCCTAAACATCTCGTAAACCACCCATGGATGCAAAAAATAGAATTTCATAATCAATTTGAGTTTCTAAGCTTAGAGAGAATGATGAGTCTATCCATTAGATTCAAAACTGAGGTAAAGTTGAAATGACTGGAGAAAGAGTTTTACCAATGCATTTTTATGTATATATATATGAGTTTTATTCTTGCATTTTTGTTGAGTTTTTGGTCTCCTTTTGATGAGAGGCAAGGAGAATGATGTAAGAGAGAGAGAAAGGGAAAAAAGATGTTGAATCGAGTTTTAGAGCTTTTTGGAAGTAGGGTTCAAAGCTAAAGAAAGGTTGGTACATTAATCTCTCTTTTTTTATGAATTTCATTTCTTTGCTTGTGATTTGGTTTCACGCTTGTAATGTTTAAATTTTTATGCTAAATTGAAATAATTAGAGTGATTATGATTAAATATAGAATTATAATAAGTTAAAATTGAAGAAAAAATGCAAAAGGTTCTTTTGGTGAACTCCCTTTAAATTGTTTAAATTTCTTTTTGTTTTTGAGATTAAATTGGAGAGAAAATGATTGTTTTAATGAGAAATATAGAACGTGTTAAGTTGGTAAACAGTGTTCAGCTAACTAAAAACTTTTAATCTTTTGCAAACTAATATTTCAATATAATTCAATTATGATTAATAAATAATTAGCCCTATATAAAAAAATAAAAATATATTAATTCACACTTTCAATCCTATACAAAAATCTTTCTATGCTGGGTGACATTCAAATTGGTTAATCCCGTGTGCTATACAGATCAAATGAACAATATTCTCAAAAATATATTCAACTGTCCAATTTGTACTCCAATAACTGGATAGCAAACGGATTCAGGTACCCGGCTTAAAATGCATTATTTTTAATTTGAACCCGATATAAATTGGGTATTCAAACTTGTTTAGAATTTTTCTTTAATACCCTAAATCGTCCCAAACCGATTATAATTACTATTTAGATATCATTTAACAATTAATGTTTTTATTTCATTTTTCAAATAAAAAGTAAGTAAAAATTTATAAACTTTAATTGACTTAATAAAAGTATACATAAATATGAAATATAATTGTAGGCATTAATTATAGTAAAAAATGAGAGTTACACATAATTTTCTTTAAATTATTTTAAATATTTTTTTGAATATTTATTAAATGGGTAAACTGAGTGCAGATACCATGAGTCCTTGAAATTTGACCCGATATAGATGTTTTTAGAACCCGTCTCAAACTCCATTTATTCATTATCTCGAACGCCATTATAACCAGATCGGGATTAGGTACCTGTTGAGCTCGGGTAAACTTGACATCCCTCGACTCATATGACATAACCATATATACTTTTTTGGTCTCTCTCCCTTTTGTGAATCTCAAATCTTACATCAAATTCTACATCAAAATTTTTTTTTTTCAGTAAGAACTTTAAGGTTTGAGATTGAGAATAGAAAATATCAACCACCAACTCATCGTGTAACCGTTAATCTACAATGTATCCAGGATAAAAGTGATAGAGATGTACATAACACATCATAGAAAATCCTTAACAGAAATATAATGTCGGCACGCACATGTTAAAACATAGAAACTAGTTTCAGAAGATTTACGAGATATCTTTGCACAAGCAGGCTCACGATATGGTATATCATACATGACCAGACAGAATTAAAGTAGCTTAATACATGGTGGATTCGTTAAAGCTGCAGAAGTTATTCTAGAACTCACTAATTCCAGTCATATTACAAACAAGAATGTGGACGTATGCAGATACAAACTGATCAATGACTTTTGTCCATTGTTCTGTCCAAGTCTGGAAACAATAATGAATTCTGACTGCTAATGCCTTAGTGGCCAAAATCTAGAAAAACATTATCATTTTATAATGAGATTCTGTCAATGAGTAAAAAAGCCCATCAAAAATGCATTATTTTTGGAAATAACATAACATAGGCAGAAGCATCTCAAACAAAGTACACAATGCCTACTCCCAATAATCTAAACATCTCTAACTCTCGGTCACCAATGCCGACATCAAACAATTATCAGATAATAAATAGTCATTCGTCAATCATTCTTAATTGATGTGCAGTTCATTTCCATTGAAAATATTTTAAGTCAAGTTATTCAAGGCATCACAGATACAATGCTACAGGATATATTTCAAGAAAATATGATGCAGATTGATTGTTTTTATGTTTATACCCTATGCAAACCACTCGAGGGTTGATATCAAATTTTAGCTATCCCAGCCCAGCTTTCATATCAGATATTGAAGCTCGGCAGCTTCCAAATTCCCCAAAAATATTTTTTGAGGTACGCAGCTCCTAATATCAGAATTTATGGGCACACAGCTCCAGATAACAGATTTATGACACGTAGCTCTAGATAAACAGATTTATAAGCGCCAGACAGCTCCCAGAATATAATATTAGATTCACGAAGTGGTAAATGACACTACATAACTTCTTTTTATCTTCAGATGCAAATATGATCAGAATTGCATTCAACAGATTAGGACTCATTGACCTCAGAAATAGCACATAACTTTTTTGCTTAACTTACCTCTTTTTAGAAAAATATAATCATATGCTTGCATTCACAGATTAGGCCTCATTGGCTTCCAAAATAACACATACACTTTTGCTTACTTGCCCTTTCAGATCACAATAGCAAGGTAATAGTAATATCAATATTGATTATATCAAACAAAACATTCATCACATATAAATAACCATCATAAGCTTTACTCATAGTACACAGGTGTGTTCAGGCTGGTGCTCTTTTCGCCTTCTCCTATTTATCATTTTACCTAGAATGAATATCAAATCCTTAATACTCATTAGCATTAATCCAAACATTTGGTGTGCTTGAACTTAAATGTTTAATATTTTTATTCCTATTTGTATTTTTGAATTCCGAAGATTACCAATGTATTCACCAACAATCATTAAACAATCATGTAATCTTAATTCAATCAATTCTATCATCATGACATTATTAAAATTCCTCATAATAATCACCAATTTAATGAATATTTCTTAAGCTCTTTAAACTTCCCATACCATAATAAATATGGTAACTTCAATTTAAACACCATTTCTTTTCCACACTAACACTTGATAACTATCATTAGAATGCTTAATCAACTAATAAAACTCCATCAATTCAATGGAAAATGCTTTAGGGTCATTTCGGTTGGCAATTTCTAACACCTTTGGGTGCGTGGAGATTTTCTCACTCATCAAATTAAAGCTTGAATCATGATTTAATATAATATACTTACTAATTAACACTTAAATCATGTTTATTTCACTTATTAGCATCAAAATCATCTCCCCTTCAAAATCTTCTACTTTGAAATGTCTTATCAATCAATGATAACATAAACTAATAGAGATAAGTTATCTTAGATGATTTCCACAAAACTCTTTGAAATTCAAGTTGAAACCTTAAAGGTTTTAAGCTTTTCTTCTTCTTCTTCTTCCCTCTCCTGTGTGAACCCCTCCCCCGAAAACAGGCATTGATGATATGAACTAAGGGGAGAAAATGCACGTGGAATGTGTGAGCGCCACTTGTTTAATTATTTTAGGGTAATAGGAAAAAAACCCTAAGTTGACTCGCGTTTTATTAACCTAATATTAGATTAATTATCACAATGTAAGGCACGATCTTTCGAAACCCGAGGGTGGGATCCCGAGACCATGTCATCTGAATGAACTAAACCAAAAAAAAATTTAGCTTTGCAAGTAATGGACCAAATGGAATGTTTAGTGATTTCGACTTGCCGCCCGGGTAAATCCCGAACGTGCCCTACGTACTCCGTTTGAAATGAAGATCAAAGTCAACGTAGTTCGATAGGCCTTTTTTAGGAGCTTTGACATGGGTATGCTTTTATGCATGAGTGTGTGGTATGCTTCCGTGCATTTTGTTAGGCATTTGCAAAATTGATTGATTTGATTTTAGGCATTTGTTGCCAAAAAAATGTCGGATTTAAGGCTTTAGCAAAACTTGATTTTAAGGCTTTTAGCCAAAAGATTGATTAATTTGAAGGCTTTTAGCCAAAATGAGTTGATTTAGGCAATTTGTTTGCCAAAAGATTGGTTGGGCGTTTGACGCCAAAATTGATTGATTTAAGGCTCTTAGCCAAAAGATTGATTAATTCGAAGGCTTTTTGCCAAAGTTTTGATTTAAGCGATTTGTCGCTAAAAGTGGTTAATCTTACTTATAGGCAATTTGTTTGCCAAAAATGATTAACTGAATTGCAATGTAGGCAATTGATTGCCAAAGAAAAACGTGTTTAATTAAGGCTATTTAGCCACAATTATTGATTAATTGGACTTATTGTCAATTTCATCTTTTATCTTTTATGGATGTGGATTTTGGAATTCTTTTGGTTGTTGGATTTTTACCATTAAGATGGGTAGTAAGTGTACTTTTTTTTTTCCCTTTTGGATATATAAAATTTTCCTATAGTTATCTGATAAATGTGAAATGGTTTGACATTTGGTGGTTTATTAGAATCTGAGGTGTATGTTCATGGGTTTTCTCTCAATTGCGAGTTTCCATTTCTAAGTAGAAGGGAGATTATGATGTTTCATTGTTGTATATAATTGTTAGGCTAGGCATTGTTATTCCTTGAGATTAGCTGAGGAACGGATCTGTTCTTGGCTCAGACTGGGCATGGGCGAAACTTTGGTGGGTCAGCTGTAAGTTCTTTTGTATGCTGATTTGCATAACTCCAATGAAATGTTCACAACAAATTGAGAGTTTGAGGAACAGAATTGTATTGTATTCTTAATATCTTAATAGTCTAACTCTTGTGATGAAATGTTATCTCTTGGTAATGCAATTGCATAATGTTTCTGTTTATGATAATGAAGTGATCTGGCTATACTGTATCTAAGTTTATTGATTTTGTTGCAGGTGCTGGAGGTTATTCTTACCTCTATGAGCCACTTTGGTGGATTGGCATGATTACAAGTAAGTTCGTATGATTTTTTATCCCCTCAGATGTTTGTCATTCTTCTTATTTGAGACTTACCCTACAGAAAATTAATCTAACATTGAAAATAGATGTCAAAAATGGAACAGGTGCTGTGATCCTGAAATTTACATGGAATTTGACTTCTATGCATGTGACTTCTGAAAACTTGATTGTTTCTTGGCTTTTCGATAAACTTCTCTCCATTAAAGTGGTTGGTAGCCAACTTAACAGTCCTGTGCTTCGGCAACTGATGTTCCATTTTTTGATTCCTCCACTTTCTTCTTTCTATTAGATCAATGCTTTTTTCTTTCTTGTACTGCTACAAAGTCTCTGTTCTGATTATTTTTACTTTTCTTTTGTTTCATATTTGGGAACATTCTTTCATGTTTTATCATCTGCCTCTCAACTACATGGTATTAATTTATTAAGAACAAGAACCTTAAGAAAATGATTTTATATACACTTTATAGCTGCTCTGACCTTCATGCTTGTCATGACATAAGAACATGACTCACTGTTGACCATTTTTTTTTTTACATAAATCCTATGTGCTCCCCAGAACCTACCCCCTCAAGGAAAAGATGATGATGTTTGGTTGTCCTATGTTGTTTTGTCTTTTTCCCATCCTGGAGTTAGGGTGGTGGGATGGTGTGTTATTTGAGATGCACGAATTTTATTTAAACTTGTGAGGTCTGTGTAATGTGTTTTGATTTCTTTACAGCTTTCAGTAAATGGTACGACGTACTTCCTTAATACACCAAACCATGGAAAATTACTATGATGTCACACTTTTTGGTGTTGGACATGTTTTAGAGACCAAAACTTTTTGGAGAATTTAAAAATGTTTACCATTGAACTCTTTGAAAAAAAATTGAGACACCTACACTGTGTCTGTGTGTTATAAATGAATTCAATATGTGGAATTCATTTGTAAATGAATTCTATCTAGAATTCATCTATAAATGAATTTTTCTTGCTTAGAATAAATTCAAAATTGAAAATTCATTTGCTTTAATTTCTTTTAATACTCTTGACGTAATAGTTTTAGAAGAATGGATAGTTTTTGTCATTAAACTTTGGATTGTTTAAGTTTGTGGAATTAATTTGGAAATCCCATCTTTTTTGTAGAACTTGGTTTACTTATATTCAAATCCATAGAATTGAATTCATAGAACTGAATCCTCATTTTTTTTTTCATACCAAACATGAAAATTTGGATTTATAAATGAATTCCACAAAATTTTGTGAAATTCATTTATTCCAAACTGGGGGTTAGGCAGATTTATTAATGTGATACAGGCAAGAGGAAACCTAAGAAAATTCAAGTCTAAATGCTCAAAATTCTTTGGATTATGCAGTGCTTATTTCATGCATTACAAGCAGTCTTTAGTCTTTTTGATGGATTCTTAGAAGTATGTTGAATGAGCTGCCAATCTAGCATTGAGGACTATATTTGTGGCCTGCTGAAAGAAGATGGCTTGAGGTCTATGGGTCTTATTTATGAGTTCTTTGCTAGAAATCATATTCTTATGCAATATTTTCTTATTTTACGCCCTGTGCTTTTATAAAACGGCACTTTCATGTATCATATTATGTTTCTTCTCCGTTTCTATATTGCTGCTGCATATTATATAAATTTTGAACTGAACAAAATCAAGTCAAGTAGCATAATAGTTAGATATTTTAATTCCAAAAAAAAAGATAAATTGCCATGCCTTTTTTCTAGTGGCTTTCTAACTGGATTAGGTTCATGTAACTTATCAAGTCAACTGGATTAGTGTCTTTTTTCACTATCCTTTTGAAGTTTTGCCATTCAATTCAATATTTTCTTTCTTTAGTTTTGTTGTCCTTTCTTTATTTTGATTACATAAATGAGTGCATATATTATCTCTGTGCATAACTGCATGTATACATTTATATAGACTTTAAGTTTATTAGTATCAAGCCTATTCAAACCTTTTGCACATTCTAACACAAATAATTGTCGTTATGGCAGTGATTGTGGGGGAAATTGCTAACTTTGCAGCTTATGCATTTGCGCCAGCTATTCTAGTCACTCCTCTAGGTGCACTTAGCATCATTATCAGGCAAGAAAAGATTTCAGGATGACTATGATATCTCAGTTATCTGATTTTAGGCTCAATCTATTTTAGAAAGAAACTTAAATCTAGCAAACTTTTTCCAAGAAAACCTTTTTTGTGAAAATATTTTCTGAAGAACTCATTTTTTGTTTTTTGATTACAATAAATTAGTTAGAAAGAATTAAAAAATAAATTTATTAACAAGTAAAATTTTTAGGGTTTAGTGTCATAAAACTTCATATATCTTTGTTTGAATTTATTGTTAAATAAGAGTAAGAATCCCTCTAAAAATGGTAGTTTTGGCGGTCACCAGATTATGATGATCACCAATGATTGATGTTGGTTGGTGGTGACTGGTAATTATGACTACCGGTGATGAATTGATTAATGGATGTGTTTTTATGTGTTTTTCTTCATTATTATACGTTCATTAAAATTTGGAAAAATGTTCTCTCTTAATAAGTAGAAGTATTTTCCTTAAATATTGCCTATTTTTTCTTTAATCAGAAAATTATTTTCTGTTGGGTAATTTTTCTAGTTCCCCAAACATCATAAACTCCAGAAAATGTTCTACAATTCTCTGGTAAAATGTTTTCCGTGAAATGAATGGAGTCTTAGTGGTAGCTTTCAAATTCTCTTGCAGTGCTGCCCTAGCACATCTTATCTTGCGTGAGAGGTTACACATTTTTGGGATTCTTGGTTGCGTTCTATGTGTTGTGGGTTCAACAACAATTGTGTTACATGCTCCTCAAGAACGTGAAATTCAGTCAGTTAAGGAGGTGTGGGACCTTGCAACAGAGCCAGGTATACATCTCTTCTATCCATGATAGATCCTTGATATTTTGAAATCTTGTCCGTTTTCATTTTTATCTTCCTTGTTAATTATAATCTTTAAGAATTGTAATTCTAGATATTTGGCCATTTGCAGCTTTTCTATTTTATGCTACTTGTGTTATAGCAGCAGTTTTCATCATCATTGTCCATATTATACCCCATTATGGGCAGACTCATGTTATGGTCTATATAGCAGTTTGTTCACTTGTGGGTTCGCTATCAGTATGTGCCAATTTCTTGAATCTGATTTCCTATTAATCTGTTTATGCTCACACATATTCATGCATATTCTGTCGTTAACATAATTTTCCATGTGCACTCTGACAGGTAATGAGTGTCAAAGCTTTGGGGATTGCTCTGAAGCTAACATTTTCAGGAATGAATCAATTAGTATACCCCCAAACATGGGCCTTTACTTTGTTTGTGGCTACTTGTGTGATCACTCAGATGAACTATCTAAACAAGGTATTGCTTTTCTTAGGTGTTCTTTCAGTCCCCTGTAATTTTGGGGGATTAACCTCTTGCATTGACCACATGCTGACTGGGATAATTTTAAATGCACCAAATTATTTGACTAGTGTGCTTGAAAAACCATGAGAATGATTGATCTGTGAGAAAGCCTGAAATCAGGGTTAAACAGCATTTCATTCACTTTAGCATATGAGTTCACTCATTGAGATAATTAGGCATATGTCTCACACTGCTAAACAGTAATTTAACAAAGGATAGATCTGGAAGTCCAGGAAGTTAAGTTTAGCTCTCAAGATTTATCATGATGAGCCCTTGAACTTCCTGTAGGCAAGAGTCTGCAGGATTTCGGTAACTTCAAAACCGCAATAATAATCCTGATGATACTTGAGAAAATAACCACTTTTTAGCTTAAAGAAAAAAGTAGAATCTTTCGTTTGACACATTAAGCAGCTTGTTTTGAGTTAGGTGCTGAAAATATAAAATATTATCAAATGCACCCAGGAGCCAACTTATGAAGATTTTAGATTTTGTGTGCTTAATTTGGGGAAGAAGCTCACTCCAAAGTCTTTTTTCCCCTCTATATATACAGGAAAATTTTCATGTATGTGGTTTTCTTGAAAGCGCAAAATTGATGGATGCAATGGTGAAAGCCTCCAACTTGCATCCACAAGCTTCAAATTTGAATACCGAGTGAAGTTATGTACCATAAACAGAGATATTTTCAAATGCAGAAGTACCCAAATGATTCAAATTGCCTCTAAATTTTATGTTTCGAGAAACCAATGTGGATTGTGGTTTTGACGGTTTTTACATGAAACTTACATTATATTCTCTTAATTGCAGGCTCTTGATACATTCAACACAGCTGTTGTGTCGCCCATATACTATGTGATGTTTACATCCTTGACTATTTTGGCCAGTGTAATCATGTTTAAGGTAATCATTTGGCCAATAATATTTGTTTTTCTTCTTGGTTCATTCTCTCCTCCCTCTCTCTCTCTCTCTCTCTTCTTTTGACCTTAAGTTCAATGTTGCCTTAACCAAGTGCTTATCTCCTAAAACTATTCCCTGTCTCAATTCTATACAGCTGTTATTTGATGGTGACACTAAGTTTTCTTCTACAATAAGACATTTAAACATAGGTGCCCGGTAGTGTTAAGTTAATAGGACAATTTAGTTAATCGTGCATGCAAAAGAAAGAGGTGTCCTTCACTGTGTCCAGCAGTGATGACCTTATTTCTCACTTTAGCTTTTTTAGGTCATAATTTTATAATTGATGGTAGTTACTAAACTATACTATGACCATTCCAAGTCCAGAAAGTTTAATGCTAATTCAGTTGGAGTTGACTACATATTCCTTTTTGTTCTATTCCTACAAATTACATTTTGTGGCTACAAATTTCTTGAATTACATGTCTAACCTGCATGTGCAGAGGATTGAATCTATTGAGTTATATTTGATAAATACAAAAGTAAATAAACAAATTTTTGTTCGTGTTTATTTTGATAGAATTCATCTGTACACTTAACGTGATTCAAGTGAATCACATGGCATTATCGCATGATACAGCTCTTTAGAATGCTTTGTTGATGATCTTTTATTTTGAAACCATTATTGCTTCAACCTTTGGTTGTCTTTTGAGAAATTGGGTTTTGTGTTATTAAAAGATTCCCTTTGATTCTGTGTCATTATATTGCCTCCAAATTTTGAGGGCTTTAATATTTTTTCCTTTAGAAGATTGATATATTTTTTCTCTATTGACATCAGTAGTTCTTAACTAGGTCTTGTTTTCACTTGACACTTAAATATGGCTTTTTCCTGTTTGCTTGAGTCTGGGTTGAGTTGGTTGGCCAAAATTTGAAAATTTTCTAGAACAGGAGCTGTGGTCAACGATCAGCATGTTTGCCATGTTGGGCTTTGCTAACAAGCAAATATGTTCTATGCTTATGCAGTAATTATAGAAGGGCTGAAAAACTTTTTAAGTAGACAAAGGAAGTTAGTCTTATTGCTGTTTAGACTTCGATATGCCAATGGGCTTTGCTCAAGTGACAAGGTGAGGTGTGATTGTGATAGGTCACCAACTTGACTCTTTTGACAATGTGTCTATGCTTAATTTATGTATTTGCAAATTACACATAAATCTCGAACTCCTAGGCTTACTGGTGATTCCAGAATTAATGATTTACTCATTTCTTGCTTGAAATTGTCTATCCTCATTTTCAAATGTCTGTTAATTAAGAATTTCGATTTGGAATTTTTTATCAGTTTGAAATACTCTCTCCTTCACACACAATATATGAGAAAGGGTTTCTGCATGCAGAAAAGAGAATATTTGTTTGTGGAAGACTAAATTTCTTATATTTTGAGTGTCTACTTGTCAGTCATTAATATTTCCTTAGAAGCTGAAAACTAATATATAGTACTTCTACTGATTTTTGTAACTAAATTTCATCATTTAAAATTGTGTTTGTTTTTTATCGTAATTAAATGTTTTCTTTTTCCAATTCAGGACTGGGATCGACAAAACCCAACTCAAATTGTTACGGAAATATGTGGATTTGTGACCATCCTGTCTGGAACTTTTCTCCTTCATAAAACGAAGGACATGGTTGAGGGTTAGTATTCAAGGCTTTTTCTGTGATGTTTGGTTGTTTTCTTGCAGTTCCTTAAGAGTATCCATGTGAACAACAAATTGAGCTTCGTCCGCAGGTTCATCACAATCTCTACCACTGCGCCTTTCCAAGCATGCAGAAGAGAATCCATATGAACCTGAAGGAATCCCTCTTCGACGTCAAGAATCCCTGCGACAGGCGTAGTTGTCTGATTCATCGTTCAAGATTTTGCATGTGTTCTGGGGGAGTGTGGGACTCGCAGCCATCGACTTGTGTGTTACAAGTACATTGAGCTGGTCCTTTATGTTCATTCAGATGACGGAGATGGCAAGAATTCTTCTCAGAAGAATTCTTCTCAGATAGAAAATGAAATGAGCACTTTTCGGCTTCTGCCACATAATGTTCAACTCCCCATCTTGCCTACTGGCAAAAGCCTCTCACCCCCTCTCTTGGGGACTTGTAATTTTGTTTACATTATTCAATATAATGTATCTTAGCTTCAGTTTTACAAAGAAATGCAGAATTTTCTGGATATTCTTATGATTGATTGGAGAAGTGAGGGGTGATATGCTACAACACTTCGGAGGAAAAATTATGATTGCCAGTCTTAACAAAAATAGTGAAATTACTATTTAGTACCCAAAGGTTAGTTTAATTAACAAACATGCCCCAGGTTAGTCTAATTAACAAGCCTGTCTGCTCCTTTTGAAATATGAATTACATAATCTCACATTTGTTTTTCTTAACGAAATAAATCTTTGTTCAGAATATGTGCTTATAGTAAAAATATGAAAATGCTTTTCATGATAAGAAAAGAATAATAAAATTTTAAATTAATTTCTGATTTGGTTTTTTTAAAAAACTTGTCTATTCAAATTCAAAATTAATTATATATGAGAATTAAAAATAATATATTTTATTTTGGATGAATTGAATTATTTCAAAAATATAAATAAGTTAATTTTATATTTTTTAATAATATAAACTATATTTTAGATGGAATATTATTTATATATTAAAAACTAATTAAAATGAAATGTTAAATAATTTTTAATAATGCAAAAATGAATTTATCATTAATTATGTCAACAATGTTATAAAATAATAGAAAAATAGGGAGAGAAGTAAAAAGAAAATAGGGAGAATAGGGAGAGATACGAGATTATATTTATTATTGATTAGAAGTCATATATATATATAGTTACATAAGTGGAACCTTAATAGATAGTTCTACACAAATCAGGAAGATAGAGTTCGCAATAATTAAGAATATAGATTTCTAGCTTATATATGGCATCCACTTATTTCATAACACTCCTCCTTGGATGCTACTTGAGAATTTTTTCTCTCATCCAAGTGCTTTGTATTATATATCTTTCTCTGCATATTTCGAGACCACTACTGATAGTTAATAAGTGATGCAATAAGCTGGTAAGGTCTCGCAATCAGGTAGGGCTCTCAGATTTACACGAGGGCCTTCTCACTCTCGTGATAATGTAGCTGGGCATTAGTGAACTAATGATATGTGCATATTATTATCATTTGATGAAGTGTTGAACATTGTGCAGTTTTAATTTTAGATTAGATTACATTAATATTTCTCATTGAGAATATCCTAGTTAGAACTTAATTAATCAATTTATTTAGATGCTGTTTTGGAAATGTATTTTGTAGCTGTGAAATATATAACATTAGATGTTATCAAATTATGTGTGTATTTGTTATGTTTTTATTGTAATAGTTCTGTTAAAATTAGAATGGGTTTTTTTTCCAATTCAGGACTTGGGATCGAAAAAAACCCAACTCAAATTCGAACGGAAATATGTGGATTTGTGACCTCCTGTCTGGAACTTTTCTCCTTCATAAAACGAAAGGACATGGTTGAGGGTTAGTATTCAAGGCTTTTTCTGTTGATGTTTTTGGTTGTTTTTCTGCAGTTTTCCTTAAGAGTATCCATTGTGAACAAAACAAATTGAAGCTTTTCGTCGCAGGTTCAATACACAAATCTCTTTACCAACTGCGCCCTTTTCCAAGCATTGCAGAAAATCCATATGAACCTGAAGGGAATCCCTCTTCGACGTTTCAAGAATCCCTGCGGACAGGCGTAGTTGTCTTGATTCATCGTTGCAAAGATTTTGCATGTGTTCTGGGAGGAGTGTGGACTTTCGCAGCCATTCGAGCTTGTGTGTTACAAGTACATTTTAGCTGGTCCTTTATGTTCATTCAGATGGACGACGATGGGCAAGAATTTTCTTTCTCAGAAGAATTCTTCTCAGATAGGAAAATGAAATGAGCGCACTTTTCGGCTTCTGCCACATAATGTTCAACTCCCCATTTGGCAAAAGCCCTCTTCACCCCCTCTCTTGGCGCGACTTTGTAATTTGTTTACATTATTCAATATTTAATGTATCTTAGCGTTCCAGTTTTACAACAAGAAATTGCAGAATTTTCTTGGATTATTTTCTTCATGATGATTGGAAGAAGTGAGGGGTGATATGCTACACACTTCGGAGGAAAAATTATTTGATTGCCAGTCTTAACAAAAATAGCTGAAATTACTATTTAGTACCCAAAGGTTAGTTCTAAGTTAACAAACCATGCCCCAGGTTAGGGGGGGTTTCTTAATTAAACAGCCTGTTCTTGCTCCTTTTTTGAAATATTGGAATTACATAATCTCAACATTTTGTTTTTATTTAAACGAAATAAATCTTTTGTTCAGGAACTATTGTGCTTGGTATAGCTAAAAATATGAAAATGCTTTTCATGATAAGAAAAAGAATAATAAAATTAATTAATTTTCTGATTTGGTTTTTTTTAAAAAAACTTTGGTCTATTTCAAATCAAAATTAATTATATATGAGAATTTAAAAAATAATATATTTTATTTTGGATGAATTGAAATTTTTCAAGAAATATAAATTAAGTTAATTTATAGTTTTTTAAATAATAATTACTATTATTTTAGATTGGGAATATTATTTATATATTAAATAAACTAATTAAAATGAAATGTTAGAATTAATTTTTTTATGCCAATGAATTTATTCTATTAATTATGTCAAACAATTGTTATAAAATAATTAGAAAAATAGGGAGGAAGAAGTAAAAAGAAAAATAGGTGAGAAAGGAGAGGTGGCGAGATTATATTTATTATTGATTAGAAGTCAATATATTATATATAGGTTACAATAAGTTGGGGAACCTTTAATAGATAGTTCTACACAAATCAGGAAGATAGAGTTCCAATAATTTTAAGAATTATAGATTTCTGAGCTTATAATCATGGCATTTCCACTTATTTTCATACACTTCCTCCTTGGATGTCCATTCTTTCAAAGAATATGCCTTTGTTAAAAATCTTACTAAGAAAAAATCCCGTGGCCATTCTTCAAAGAATATGCCTTGTTAAAATCTTACTAAGAAAAAATCCCGTGGGATCTTAGTGAAGAAAAAAGAGTACATTATTCTTTTCTTAAATACACGTTGAAATACTGCTTCATTAAAAACCTTTAACAGGAAAATCCAGTGGAAAAAAAAAGCCTTGGTTAAAGGGAAAAATAATATAATGCGCATTTACTCTCCCTTGTATTAGTTATAATATAACTCATATATATCATGTCATGGAGATGTCAAAATACGTATAACTATATTCAATTTCTTCATATTCAAGAAGAACTATATCTTGCAAATAAAATTTATAAAAATGCTTATATCTAGTCATATGATTAGCAAGAAACATTAGCGTCTTTATTACACTAAGATATGATACTTTATGGCCAATAAGTTCTTCATAATTTTCTCAAAGTTGAAAAATAATCATTTTCTTATCAAGTGATCTCATAGCATTTAGAATCCACATAATATCATTTTAATAACTTAGTCATATGTGTGGATTCATAGATAAAATTTCATTTATGAATTGCTCGATCTTCAAGCCAAGACAAAATTTTATATTTCTAATGTTTTTCATCTCAAACTCTTTCTTTTAGGAATTTATAATCTTTGAAAGTTCTTCAGGAGTTCCAATAAATATTTATGATCAAATAATGACAAATTTATATTCAAATATCTCTATAAAAATTCATGAACATAAAACAATATTATTAAAATATCCTTTCAACAGATATTCACTAATCAAGAGATCACCTTACTCATGATAGTATATAAAGCAAATATTAAAAATATGAAAGTATGTGACGCTCAACAAAAGAATATTATAAATACAATATAATTATAAAATAATTTAATATTTTCTCAGCCATAAATATCATTAAGGCGATTATAATGTATGTATTGAGATTTCTTTATTCTATATAGAAATCTTGAATATATTTCTCAGGATCTTGATTTGCTTGTTTGAAGCATTTTTTTCAATATTTCATGGTTATCATTATCTAAAAATCCATATAGAACTCTATAATATTAGTTGGATTTTCATATAGATTTCTACATCAAGTTAGCGTATAAATAGGCAGTCACTAATTCATTAGACACCTTTCGAATTTTCATAAATTGCCAGATTAATCAAATATCAAATTATAATTGCATCCACCATATGAGGGTGTTTTTCCTCATAATAAATGCTAGTTCTTTGCAGAAGACATGTGCAATAAGTTTATTTTATATCTCATGACCTCATTTCAATTTCGCATAAATACATATTTGTATTCTAGTGGCTTGACATCTCTTGATGTTCATACTAAAATTTCAAAATTTACTTTTCAAGTAAATTAAATGCCAATGCGTCGTTCTATTTTGGCCAATCAATTTTATGTTTATATTCTCCAATAGACTATATGCTCAAGATCCTTATCATTTTTCACAATTTCAAGTGTTATATTTACCGTCGACGTTTATTTTATATCAGTTTCATATTTGTCCTAACATGACATAATTTATAGAGATCTCATAATTGCATTGATTTTAGGTACTTGAGTTTCTTCGGGAAACTTATTAGTCATGTCTAGGATCTCTTCTATAATTTACTTTTCTAGAACTTAACCATCTTGAATATTTGCTCCTTTTCTTTTTCTAGGATTTTTATTTTTGGAACTGATTGGTCTATCATGCTTTAGGCTTACCTTAGACTCATTAGCATAGGCAGTTTGTTTTAGAGTGTGTTGCGTTTTGTTTTTCTTAGGATTTTTATTTTTGGAATGCTCCTTTTCTTTTTCTAGGATTTTTATTTTTGGAACTGATTGGTCTATCATGCTTTAGGCTTACCTTAGACTCATTAGCATAGGCAGTTTGTCCTTCAGGGACTTCAATTCTAATAGGAGCAATTTACAGCTAGTATGTGAGCTTTAATTATCTCTTTTTGGATCGGTAAATATATATCTGGCAACTAATTTATAATATTTTACAAATGAATTATTTTTTAAACTTTTTTAAAATCACACTGCCTTATATGAGGATCAAATATAATAATGATATGTTTTTTTAATCAATTATGCTTCTAGTTGCTTATTTTTACCCCCTAATATCGTCATCCATAACAATTTGCAAATTTGGCCATAAAATAACTTTCTTATTTGAAAGTTC